GGCAGAGAGGGACAGTGAGACTGCACACTTCACTGAACTCCACAGGCACCCGAGGAGGGGACAGAGGGACAGTGAGACTGCACACTTCACTGAACTCCACAGGCACCTGAGGAGGGGACAGAGGAACAAGGAGATTGCACACTTCACTGAAGTCCACAGGCACCTGAGGAAGGCAGGGAGGGACAGTGAGACTGCACACTTCACTCAATCCACAGGCACCTGAGACAGGGAGAGTAAGTGTACACACACAGGTAAGCCAGCCCTGGTACTGGAGAGCCAGAAATGAATCACCCCTACTGGTCTGCCTTTACTCACCAATTCATAAAGACTTGGAACATGTTGTGCTAGGATCAATTTCATCAGTTCAGCTGGTCAGCAGAGCCTGGAATGGCCGACAGGAACTGGAACAGAACCAACAGACCAGCTGTGGTCTCTGACAGCTACAGACTGAAGGGGATTCATGTCAGCTGATCAAGAACCTCACTAAACCGGAGTCTGAAATGGCCAGTAGGAATGGTCAGCAGCAGTTGGGAAGATCTATACTCCGGAGGGGTTTCCATATTAGCTGATCTCTGAGCTTAGTTCTCCAGGGGTCAGAAGGAGATTATTGCTCCCAGTGAGCAGAAACTGCAGAGTTAAGGATGACCCTCAGACCTGAGGAACTGCAGCTGTCCAGGACCAGGGCTGGACACCACAGACACACATCCTGGTACTCAAGCACCCAAGCAAGTAAGACTGCGTTTGCCCTTACACTCCATATACACAAAGGGAGAAAGGGGGAGAGACAAACACCTGAGGCAGAGAGAGCCCATGTTTAAAGCGGACTAGTGGGCTGTAGGGTTTCACTGTATGGAAACAGTCAACCCAGAGAACTTCAGAACCCACACTAAAGAAACCAGTGGAAACTACAGAGAGAATTGAACACTGAGGCACTTCTTTACACAAAGGGCGGTGGGAGTGTGGAACAATCCACCCAGCCATGTGGTTGAAGGTGATAAGCTGGCTTCTATCAAGAAACAGACTGATGAGATCTGTAGATCAGTCAGCCATTAACTACCCAACAGGCCAGATGAGCTGAATGACTCGTCTCATCTGCAACCTTTCCAATGCTCTTACAAGCCCACTGCTTGCAGCAATGAATGAAAACTAAAAGCCCTCACCGGACTTCTATAACATAATTCAAATGACGATCAACTGTCTCTTGCAGACACGTTTACCGTCATCATGCGCTGACTCGACCAGGGGTATTATACTTGGTCATTCCATTCACCACACGTCTGGAGTCCCATCTACATTACATTTCTTAGCAATGTGACTAGAATAACGCCCACGACTTTATCACAATAACGTCTGACCTACTGAACACCGGCGGTCAGCACTGTACCGAGTGCTGTGTACACAAGCAATTCATCTCCCACACGTGCACAAATCACAATCGTTCACACAAATCCGTGCATTTCTAAGAGGAGGGGAAGAATATCCTGTAACCTCTTTATCTGTTTTTTTTTTTACTTTCCAAACACCCCCCAACCGCCTCACCGGGGGAGCCAGGGCGAGAGTTTCTCACGCGTCAGCTCAGAAGAGGTCGTGTTATTGTTTACACTCGGCGCTGCGTTCATTTGCACAGACGCGGTCGCTGTTTCGGGATGAAAGGCGACTCCAGTGCAAAGCAAAAACCAGCGAAAAGCACAAAACACAGACACACACAAGCCATTATGAGCTCCCAGCCCGCCTGTGTTGTGCTAGGACAGGGCCCTGCGGTACTTCGAGACTAGGCCCGAAATCCCCGGACTGGAGTGCGGCGATGCAGGCGCCGATGGGGTTCACAACAGCGCACCGCTATAGACCTTGAAACGATTTCTCTAAACTCAAATGTTCTTTACAACTCGAGAGCGGTACGTCCCTTGCCCATACGTGCACTCGCTAGCTCGTGTGAACCGACTGTGTTGATGTTGTTGTTGTTGCTGTTGGTGGTGTTGTTTTTTGCGCACTCATCGCTGCGGACACTGACCGTCAGCCCCGGCGGTGCCGTCCGCTCTCCGCCGCTCACCTCTACCCCCGGCGCCGCCAGGCCGATCACGCTGACCGCCCGCACCGTCCCTCGGAGCCAGTCGCGCTGGCTCACCGCCGGCTCCGGCTCGGCCCCGGCCGCCGCGCCCGCGTCCCCGAAGAGCAGGAGCAGCCGTTTGCCGACCAGCCCCAGCGAGTCCCCCATCCCGAGCCCCCCTCGGAAAACAAAATGCAGGAATGGAGAAAAAAATAACTTCTGCACAGGGAACTCTTGATACTGTCGTCTCCACTACCCCCCCCCGCCGTCTCCCCCCCAGCACTCCTCTAGAGAGGAGTCCTCCAGATACTGCGCCGCTGGTTGGGGGAAAAAGCGGTTGCAAATAATAATTGCAAGGGTAGAAAGAGAGAGAGCGCTCCCCCGTCCGCAGCAATAAAATGTTATTGTTCACAATGCAACAATCCCGCTCTGTCCGCCATTACAACAGCCCGACGCGCTCCTGCACACTGCAGAGCTCCTATCCTGGGCGTGAGGGAAACTGCGCGGCGCCCCCCAGCGCCCAGTCCGGGCAGCACAGGGAGAGGGAAGGAGGCGGGGCAGTTGGAAGCGAGGCAGTTGCAAGTGAGGCCAAATTATTAGGTCCCCGCAGTCAAATCAGTTGGTGTCCAGCCCTGGTCCTGCAGGTCTGAGGGGTCACCCTTAACTCTGCAGTTTCTGCTCCCTGGAGCAATAATCTCCCTCTGACCCCTGGAGTAGGAGAGGGGTTTAGAGAGGTCAGAACTCAAGGACGACAGCTGAATTCTTGCTGCCCATTCTGGGCTCCACTGGCCATTCCTGCTGCCCATTCCAATCTCTACTGGCCATTCCAGACTCCACTGGCCATTCCTGCTCCCCATTCCAATCTCTACTGGCCATTCCAGACTCCACTGGCCATTCCTGCTGCCCATTCCAATCTCTACTGGCCATTCCAGACTCCACTGGCCATTCCTGCTGACTGGATTGCTCCAAACTCACGTGTGCTCCAGACCACCTGACCACGGCAGGGAATAAATCCCCTGGTGGACCAGAATCTCAGCAGGATAATAATCTACATTGATTTCCCTGCAACATACAACTGGCAGCCCACTGAAGCCCAGCAGGTATAAGCCTGGCCAGTACCTGGGACTCCTGGGAAAACTAAGGTTGCTGCTGGAAGAGGTGTTAGTGGGACCAGCAGGGGGCGCTCACCCTGCGGTCTGCGTGAGTTCTGATGCCCCAGTATAGTGACGGGGACACTATACTGTAAAACGGGTTCCATCCTTCGGCTATCCGACCCAGATAGTCTTATAGGTCTCCCCAAATCAGAAAGCCCCAACCCAGCTAGTCTTATAGGTCACCCTAAATCAATCAGTGAAGACTGGGAACACTTGTACGTTATCAATCAAAAAATAAGCAGCTAGTTAGGCTGGATTTTCTCTATGTACTTGTTACATTTATGTTCTTTTTTATTTTTCGAAATGATCTGTAAATTACTTAACAACTCACTGGTTTAACTGGTTAGGGTGAAATTGTTGCAAGGCTTTGGAAACTGAGTAAATGGCGCTTCGGGACCTGGGCTGGCCACCCGTGCTGTAACCCCTCGAACCCCGGTCACGAAGTAGTGGGGGTGTTTCTAACTTCCTCTCTCCTCGGCTCTCAGTGGACGCGCAAACTTGGTTGCTATGGTCGGAGCAGCAGCCAGTCAGAAAATCCGGTTCAAGGCTGAGGCTTTCTGATTGGCCGAAGAGCTGAAGAGCCGCAGTGGATTGGCCGCTCAAGGTGACGGCGGGAACATGAATGAGGAGAACCAGGACAGACACATGATCCATTCACATGATTTCGGGTGGAGTGGTGGCACAGTGGCTGAAAGGTTGCTGGTTCAAATCCCGCAGGTGGCAGAGGAAGCCTACTCTCTTGGGCCCCTGAGCAAGGCCCGGAAAAGCTGCTCCAGGGGTGCTGTATAAATGGCTGACCCTGTGGTCTGACCCCCAGCTTCTCTCCCTGTCTGTGTGTCTCAGGAAGAGCAAGCTGGGGTATGTGAAAAGACAAATTCCTAAAGCAAGAAATTGTATATGGCCAATAAAGTGATCTTATCTTACCTGATCCCGTGGCAGAATGGCACCTTGTAGTATTTAAAAATCTTTTTGGCAAGCTGGGATTCCTGCAGTCGAAGCCCCATCTACAGAATGGGACTGTTCACCCCTACACCCTGCCAGGACCCCTGGAGCTATTAAGATGCCCCCCTATAAAGGACGTGTCGTTATCAAGCAGGTTGGACCCCGAATGAAGGAACTGTGAGCAGAAGGATGCTGTCATGTGTGAAGTGGCCAACAGAGGGAGCCTCATGCAGCCTAACTGGCGAAAGGTCTGAAGTTTCTGCTTTGAGATCTAGGGTGTCCAGCTCACTCCCCGGAGAGAATGGGGACTTCTGGGTTTTGTTCCAACCCCTGGAGTCAATTAATCAATTGACCCGATACTTTTTCTAATTCAAGCAATGGCACAGTGGCGCGGTGGCTAGCTTTACTGCCTGGCGGCCCTGGGGTGCCATCTGTGTGGAGCTTGTCCCTGTCTCCACAGGCATTTTCCTCCCGCAGTCCAAAGACGATGAACAGGTAGGTTAATTGGCTTCTGGGAAGACTGGCCCTGATGTATGCGAGTGTCTCTGTCTGTGTGCGCCCTGTGATGGACTGGCGTCCCGGCCGGGGTGTATCCTGCATTGCGCCCAGTGCTTGCTGGGATAGGTTCTGGCTCCCCGTGACCCTTGACTGGATACAGGGGTCAGAAAATGAGTGAACGGATTTTTCTAAATTAGACAGACAGAGGATTTCTCATAAGGTCTTCAACAGTTTATGAACTGTAACACAAGACCTACACTTCATTCAACGTTAAACAACCCAAAAACCAGAGGACACAGAGCTGGACACCCCCGTCTTAGAAGACAGATTATCTTAGTGTTTTTGTAACTTTAACTAGCACCGGTGTCCAGTCCTGGTCCTGGTGTCCAGCACAGGACGTCCTGTTACCCGTTCTTGCCAAGATCTTGAGGAGTTCACTGTGCCAGTCTCCGGATCCGTCAACCAAGACGAACTCATGCACAGGACCCCCCTGTGTCATTAACCCCTCACTGTCTGGGCCAGTTAACAGACATTGAGTCAAAGCATTTATCAGCGCCTTGCAGGAGGCAGCACCCAGGACAGGGGCAGACCCCTGCAGGACGGGATCACGCAGAGGAGGAATGTCTGCACACCCAGCGTCTCCTTGGTCTGGTAGAGAAAACAACACTCAATATTTATTCATCAGTTACACAGGTTAAAGTACAGCATACCGTATATACACCAGACGGCTGGTTGGGGTTGTTTTTTTTTAGTAAATCTCAAGTCTTTTTCATGTTTCGGCAGAGAAACAAAAGTTCAGATTTTTTCTTGGTAGAGCGCCCCCCGGTGGAGCCCGCAGGAAGCGCTGGTGCGTCCGGCTCTGAAGGAGGAAGGAATGCGCGACTGCACCCCCCTCACGTGGCTGCTGGTTGAGGGGGGCAGGCGTCACGGCAACAGCGCTCTGGACCCCGCTGCTGGTCGGAGTTGAGCGCCAGGAGACCGCTCTTTTAGTGCATCAATTCAAAGAGACCATTCAGCCCATCCGGCCCGTTTGCACGTTAGTAGCCAAGTAATCTGGGGATCCAGCGGTTTTCTTGAAGGAGGCCAGGGTATCGGTTTCAACAACGTGGCCGGGCAGCTTGTTCCACACTCCCGCCACCCTCTGTGTAAAGAGGTGCCTTCCTGTTCTCAGTGCTAAATGCTCCTCTCTGTAGTTTCCACGGCGTGCAGCTGGTCGTGTCAGAACCGTTGCTTGCAGAATGGGGGTGAAGTTGGGGGGGGGCTGGGGGTCTGGGGGGCTGCCCTGCTGTGACCTGTGAGGCGGAGGGCTCGGAGAAACGGGCTGCTTGCGTGCTAGTGGTTCTCTGCGTGTGTGCGGCGTGTTATAGTGCACATGCTGTACACCCAGTACTGGCCGGAGGAGGGGAGCAGGGGGCCCGGCGGCCTCAGAGGCAGTTGTCCGGGGTGCAGGCGCTCTGCTCCTCCAGCTCGGGGCAGGGCGAGCCGCTGTTCGCCGGCTTCAGCAGGATGTAGCGGGTCCGGTGCCGCACCCCGCCGCCGCAGGGGCCCAGGCACAGCCCCCAGGATGACCACAGGGACACCTCGCAGTCCAGGGGCGTCTCTGAAAGGCAGGCAGGCAGGCCGCGCTGAGATCCGAGCAGCCTGTATCTGTGTCATGACAGCGGTGCGCAGTGGTGACAGCAGAGTACAGCGCTTGGCCAGCTGAGCTCGTTCCTTCATTTAATTCATACTTAACACACGCACAGAGCACAGAGACACACATAAATCAGAGACACAGATCACAGAGACACACATAAATCAGAGATACACACACAGATCACAGAGACAGACACACGCAACACACAGAGCACTGACACACACACACAGAGCACACAGACACACGCAGAGTACTGAGACACACACACAGAGCACACAGACACACACAGAGCATGAGACACACACAGAGCACACAGACACACACACAGAGCACAGAAGCACACATAAATCAGAGACGCACACACAGATCACAGACACACGCAATACACAGAGCACACAGACACACAACACAGAGTACTGAGACACACACACAGAGCACACAGACGCACACAGATACACAACACAGAGTACTGAGACACACGACACAGAGTACTGAGACACACACACAGAGCACACAGACACACACAGAGCACACAGACACACAACACAGAGCACTGAGACACACACACACAGAGCACACAGACACACAACACAGAGTACTGAGACATATGACAGAGTACTGAGACACACACACAGAGCACACAGACACACACAGAGCACTGAGACACACGCACACAGAGCACACAGACACACAACACACTGAGACGCTGAGGCCCATGTAGACGAAGGAGGAGTGTGGGGGCGCACCCTCACCTGAGAAGTGCGGGGTGTCCGGCTGGGGGGGGATGTGGTTGGACAGCGGCGTGTGGCGGGATGGGGCTCGGCTCTGGCGGAGCAGCCTGATCGCGGCCAGCGGGGGGAGCTCTGCTAGCCGGGGGTAGTAGAAGGAATTGGCGGGATGGCTGGGGTTCTGAGAGGTGATCTGGGGAGAGAGGAGCAGAGGGGAGAATTGCCACACCTGCAGGAGTCCTTTCTGCTCAGGTCCCTTTCCAGAACAACTAATCACAATAAGAGAACACTGGAGTCATCGTGTCATCATCTGGGTCTGCGAGCGTGTTAAACGTAGCCGAAATCGGAGCTCACCCGCGTGATGTTCTCTGGCGGGTCAGTGGGGAAGTTGGGGGAGGAGAAGGTGAAGCCACTGTCTGACCCCGCATCGTAAGGGTAAAGGTTAAGGGTCACATCCTGTTTCCACTGGCCCCCCTCACACAGGTCAAGACTGTCGACCCCCACAAACCAGTCGGGGCTGGGAATGATCTTCACTAACAGAGAGAGCTGTGGACAGAGAGAGAGAGGGCAGAGAGAGGTATGGGGGGAAGAGAGAGGGAGAGCAGGGGATTACGAGGAGAGGTGATTTACAGGCCTGACAGACGGACACAGCTTTGTAAATAAGAGAGCGAGGAGCAGGCACGTTTCACAGGCGTCGCACATGAAAGCGTCTCTCCCGCTGTGGTTGCTCGGGGAGTGTCTCCTGGTCTGCTCTGCTGAGGTTACGGCACTACAGAGCAGGATGATCGCCGGAGGCCTCCAGACCCCCCCGGATCTGCCTGCCGCGGCGTCTCTCGCCAGCCCCAGCGATCAGACGGGACCGAGGCGCCTCTCCGGGCGGAGAGAGATTTTTTTTTCTATCCAAATAAACTTTATTTCCCAGTAAACACCTGCAAACAGATGCACCCGACTCTCGTTGAAATAAAAACGTTCTCAGTCAGGTGACTGCCCGTTATCAGCCGGGGCCAGTGGATGCTGGGTCCGGATTTGCACACTGGAGTCCCTCCAAGCCCTGCCGCTTGCTGTGGTCCCTGCCCTTCCCCTGGCTCCAGTCCTCCGCAGGGGCTCAGGGAACAGGGGTTTCCACTTCACAGCGCCCAAAGAGAGGAGAGAGGTTCCCCAGTGGTGGCCTGCAATCGGCGCACACAGCGCCCCCTGCAGCCCGCTGGGCACTTGCGGTGCCCAGAGACACGCCTTCCCTCCCGTCGGCACGGCGTGGCGTGTTGGCGTGTTGGCGGGTGGGGGGGTTACCTCACTCCCCGTGTGCAGTCACAGGGTTTGAAGACGCGAGAGACAACGGGCGACTCCGAGTTTAATTAGACGCCCGATTGCTTACTTGTGCTTTCGAACTCTAACTAGAGCACTGTACACTCGCCGCGTCCTGCTTGGGGCCAACAACGTGCTATTGTCGACCCTGCACTCTGAAATCTCTCAGGCACTCTGTGAGCGGACCGAAGCATCTAGCAGTCCTCCTGTTGAAGAAGTGCCAGTGATTCAGTTAATCAGCCAGCAGGAGCTGGACAGGACAGACGAGATTACCGCTGCCCGCCCGTAACCGAGCCGCCTGGAGGGCTGCACAGGGCAGAAGGAAGCAGGAGACCCCACTGCTCACCCCCAGGGTGAAGGGCAGCAGAGAGCCTTCAGGCCCGGGAGGTCCGGGCACCCTGGGGTGAGAAGAAGACCCGATAA